CAAATTAAAGAATTTGAATAAAAAATTATAAAAGGTCCACAAGTTAATCACTCGAATCGAGGTTAAGGATTTCCCTTCCTCGGGTTGTCGGGATGGTAGCTTCTATCAAAGTTATAAGGCACCCAACCCTGCTCTGAGTTCCCACCTTTACTAAAGTTTTCACTCAGTCTTGGTCCTTCATATGTGATTACAGACTTTACTCGTTTGTGTTTTCTTACGACTTATTTTTTGACTTTTTTGTACTGAATTTTTCTGCTTTCTATTTATGTAATTTATTTAAATTCCTTGAAAGAATATAGTGTTTTATGATACTAACCATGCAACAATAGCAGAAGCCCAAACACATAATGTTATGTTTTATAGTCTTCTTCTATATAATACACTTTATTGCTCTTTTATTGATATGCATATTAATTACAATACCTCTTAGAATAGGAGAACAGTAGCCTGGTTATATAAGAGGTACACAGTGGTAAGACACCGACCAAAATATCTGCATAAACACTTTAAATTAAAACCCTAAACTTGTAATCGCCGCGGCGGAAGGTTGGAGCATACTTTGTGGGCAACACGACGAGGATGCAAGGAAAGAACATCTTCGAGAGAGCAAAAAGGATCTTCAATAACTTAACTTTCCTTTGTTTAAATAATAACAATCCATAGGACTTCGAGGTAATCTTCCTAGTAACATAAATCCTCATAATATCATCTTTAGGCCTTTGCACAGTCATGTTGTGCAATATAAGCCCTAACACATTTAGTACTTTGAGGTCATCATTCGATATGACATAAATCCTCCTGTCTTTCAGACTATCTGCATGATTAAATATCAGGCAAATGTAAGCCTTAAATAATTAAATGACAGGATTAAACATTAAATGATTTCATTCATAGAACATCAATCCCAACACAATGATAGTTTGAGAAGTCATCGAGGTTCACCTCGAAACCTTTGACATTCCCTACTTCTCATTACTTTGGATTTAAAAAATAATTGCTCCTATTTGATCCATTTCCATTTGATTTTTCAATGTTCAACATTGAAAACTAAACTTTGTAATCTTGAATAGAAATACCTTTAGTCATTATCGAGAGTTTTCTTAAGTGACTTTGGTTTTTTAAGATGCAATTAACTATAGGGGCTTGCTTATATAGAGAGCTAAAGAACCCAGGTAATATAAACCCTAGCCAATCCTTATATTACATAGGGAAGTTTTTCGGCCCACATATAAAAAAAGAGGTTTGCAGACCAAACAAATGTCATAAACTCTTTTAGTTTATTTAATCGAGCCCACTGATAAGTAATATGCCTATTCTTCGGGATAGGTGCATCGCTTGTGGTATTGTTCTCGGTCATCTAAACTAATAAAATGTATGAGATCTGTTTGGCTCACATTTTTCAAAATTAAAAATACTATTTTTTTTCAAATCAAATTACATATATTATATTAAATCAAGATAAAATCATTTCTAAGGATTCTGCGGCTGACAACAACAAGCAGACACCAACTATAAATGAGTTTGTATCGAGTAAAATGATACCTATAAAAAGGTTTCACAACTTAACCGAGAGACACTCACGAAGCACACATGTAGGAATGCAATAAGCATATGACATGAGTGCACCAAAGTGGCAAGGGTGAGTATGCCATGAAGGCAGTTACTGGGAAAGGATGGGCATGTCATGAAGGCAGGGGCAAAAAAAATGGGTATGTCGAGTAGGCAGTGACCCGGTGGTGGGCATCCCGTGAAAGCAGTGGCCCATTAGGTGGCTATGTTGAGAAGATAATGACCCGGAGATGGGCATGCCGTGACGGCAACGACCCAAACAAAAGGGTATGCCGAGAAGGCAGTGGCTCGAAAGAATGTGCAGCTTAAACAAATGATAATGATCATGCAACCAAACACACAAAGAATATGATGCAATATGCAAGAAAGCAAACATGCATATGCACATGCATAACATGGAATATGATGTATAAGCATACAAATATGCAAGTGATCAATTGTCCAGGCCATGGCGGCTGATACACCAAAAATAATGTATTGTTTTAAGTATACATTTAATGCTTATTTTTTGTGATATTACACTTTAAAGAATGATATTTTCATGTTTTTATTGTAAGTATATCAATTATAGGCATTTGGATCAAAAGTAGCAAAAATGATGAAATTTGGAGCCAAAATAGTGAATTTTGAGATTATGGCGCCTGCAGCGCCAGAACTGGTGCTTGAAGCGCCACTTTATAGAGAGCTGACGCCTGAAGAGCCAAAATTGGCTCCTGAAGCACCATTTTATAGAGAGCTTGAAGTGCCAAAACCTAGAATAGCATAGTCTTAAGCAAGTTGGGGCCTGAAGCACCATAACCAGTGTCTGAGGCACCAAAGATGACTTTTTGTGAATTAATGTAGTTCTGAACAAATTTTGCACGAATTTTGAAGGGTCCACGTGTTCTAAACGCCCCATGGAGTGATTTAATGCATCTAGACACTTTGGAAGGTTCTTTTATGAAGGGATATGTCTCTTAGATCAATAGACGTATCTTTTTATGAAGGGATATGTCTTTTGAATTAATAGACATATCATTTGAAATTCAAGAGGGAATTTTAAATTTTTTTTGGAGGGAGGCAACCTCTTCTAATAAGTGAGAGGGAAGTCTAAGGCTTGAAAAAGCGGGCTGAAGAGAGGCGTGAGAGAGAGTTTGAAGAAGGCAAGAGAGAGAGAGAGATAAACTCAAAGGCTTGAAGATTTTCTTCAAGGATTGTAAGAGGAGAGGGAAGCTAAGAGATTTTCTTTTTCATTACACTTTTAAGAGAGAATTGAGAGTGCTTGTAAAGAGGGAAAGTGCTTGAAGAGAACTTCTAGAGATTTTCTTGGGAAGGAATGTGAGATAATTTGTGTCCCTTATTTCTTTGTTTTTGTAAACTTGTTTTTATATATGAAATCCATGTTTTGTTGTTTCCTTCTCATGAATTCTGAGTAGTCTACTTTATCCTTCTCTATACTTTGAGATATGATTTTGTGAAGAATTGATTTTATTTTATACGATTTTAAATGCCAATAATTTGTGATGATTCGAACTTTGATCTTCATTTACTTTTGGATTTGACCAATTGAAATGTTAAAATGTGTTGAGAAACATATGTTCTGAAAGAGTTATGATTTCTACAACATAATGAGAATCACATTTAATTCCATAAGAGAGGATGTCATCCATGGGTTGAGTGCAAAAGAATTGGGAAATATATTTTGTTGGATGCATAATTGAAAATTTTAAGGTGACAGATTAAAATCCCCAATTTGGTCTAATTGAATGTAAACTAAAGCGAGATTGTTATACTCTATATGATGATGATGATGATGATGATGATGATGATGATGATGATGATGATGATGATGATGATGATGATGATGATGATGATGATGATGATGATGATGATGATGATGAGGAAGGGGATGAAGATTGATGTTTTTACGAGTTAAGTTTGTTAGTTTATTTGTTCGGTATTTTGATTGTTTGAAGTTGGTTTTATTTGAAACTGTGTATTAAGAACTTTCATTTTGATATTGTACTGTGGACCTAATTGTAATAGTAACTATAGATTTTTTACTTTTTCTGCATTTCTAGTATTTTCAATTTCTGTTTATGTTTTTAATTCTTAACAAATCCTTTAAAGTATATTATGTTTCATTTAATGCTTTAAATTCTGTATTTTTAAAGTTAGTACTTGCAGTATATAGAGCCCAGTTTCATACTCGGAAATCCTATACAAGTTAGTTTTTATTTTTTATGCATTTACTGTTTTCTTTCACCTACAAAATTTGGTAGTAAAGTTTTTTAATTGCTTAAAAATTTAAGTTTCGGGGAAAGAAAAATTTCTTTTAAAAAGAAGTAAACCAAATTTTATTTGTCCTCAATTAACAATATTTTTAAAAATTAATTAGCATGACATGGGATATTACGATTTAACTTTAAATGACTATACTTATTTTGTAAATAATACAATAAATTTAAGTAAAAGTTTTTAAAAATAAAGGTCAATTCTAAGTTAAAGATATTTGATATGAAAGGATAAAACTATGTTTTTCTATTTAAAGTAAACAAAAATTATATTTTTGAAGTATTAAGAATTTTAGAGTTTCATGTAAGAAGAAAAAAATGAGACTTTATGAAAAATCATAAAACTAATATAAATTTATAGAGTGAAGAAAGGTAAATAGTTTTAATTTTAAGAAGAGGATAGTGAAGTTCAAAATTATTAAATGCTATCTAGATATCGTAATTCTCATTTGTAAGAGAAAAAGAAAAGAAATGATTAAAAGAAATGATTAAAAAGATCTTAAATGATTAAAAAGATCTTAAAAGAAAAAAAAAGAAAAAGAAAAGAAAAGAAAAAAAAAGTTTGAGGATGTGTCTAATAAAAAATTTGTTTCACTTGAATAAACTTAAGGAAAAGGTTTTATTATATTTTCTAAACTTGTATTTGAGTATTAGCACCTTTACTAGTAAAATTTTCATGAACTTCTTTTTCATATGAATATTCTAAGTATCCTTGATATGACAAATTACAATAAATTATGATATGACAAATTACAATTCTTCTTAAAATGAATAGAGATTCAAAAATCTTAGATTTGATTACTAAGTACTCTTAGACTTAGAATTTGAATCTAATATATTAAAAATTTTTCTTAAAATTTACTGTTTTATTTATGAAACTAAAGTATAGAAGTTTATAAGTTAATCTCTATCCTAAATCATATACTTTTATGTAGTAAAAGTGTCACTTGAGGACAAGTAACAATCTAGTTTAGGGGATTTTGATACACCAAAATAATATGTTGTTTCAAGTATACATTTAATGCTTATTTTTTGTGATATTGCACTTTAAAGTAGGATATTTTCATATTTTTTTTGCAGGTATATCAATTTTAGGCATTTGGAGCAAAAGTAGCAAAAATGACAAAATTTGGAGCCAAAACAACGAATTTTGAGATTATGGCGCCTGAAGTGCCAGAACTGGCACCTAAAGCGCCACTTTATAGAGAGCTGACGCGTGAAGTGCCGGAATTAGTGCCTGAAGCGTCCTTTTTCAGAGAACTGACACCTGAAGAGCCGAAACCCAAAACAGTGCGGTCTTAAGCAAGTTGGCTTCTGAAGCGCCAGAACCAGCGCCAGAGATGACTTTTTGTGAATTAAGTAGTTCAGGATGAATTTTGCACAAATTTCGAAGGGGCCACTTGTTCTAAAAACCCCCATCTAGACACTTTGGAAAGTTTTTTTATGAAGAGATAAGTCTCTTGGATCAATAGTCATATCTTTTGGAATTCAAAAGGGTTGACTTTTGGATAGATTTTTGGAGGGAATTTTGAATTCTTTTTGGAGGGAGACAACCTCTATTAAAAGAAAGGGAATTCTAGGGCTTGAAAAGGGGGTTAAAGAGAGGCGTGAGAGAGAGTTCGAAGAATGCGAGAGAGAAAAAGAGAGAGAGAAAGTCAAGGGCTTATAGATTTTCTTCAAGTATTGTAAGAGGAGAGGGAAAGTGAGAGATTTTTTCTTCATTACACAAAAGAGAAAATTGAGAGTGCTTGTAAAGAGGGAAAATGCTTGAAGAGAACCTCTAGGGATTTACTTGGTCTAGGGATTTTACTTCTAGGGATTTTCTTGGGAAGGAATGTGAGATAAGTTGTGTCTTTTATTTCTTTATTTTTGTAAACATGTTTTTATATATGAAATCCGTATTTTGTTGTTTCTTTCCCATGAATTCTGAGTAGCCTACTTTATTCTTCTCCCTACTTTGAGATATGGTTTTGCGAAGAATTTATTTTCTTATACGGTTTTAAATGTCAATAATTTGTGATGATTTGAACTTTGATCTTCATTTACTTTTCGAACTAGCCAATTGAAATATTAAAATGTGTCGAGAAACATATGTTCCGAAAAGGGCTATGATTTCTATAACATAGTAAGAATCACATTTGATTATGTCATATTTGATTCCATGAGAGAGGATGTCATCCATAGGGTTGAGTGCAAATAGAGATAAATATAAAAAGACCACCATTACCATTTACTTAGTACTAAGGGGAATTATTGAAAGACAAACCTGAACAAAAGGAGTTGATTGAAAACTAAGATTGAAAACTAATGCGAAATTGTTAGCCCTTAGGGGAGGGAGTAGTGAGAGCTCAAGAGTGGCAGGTAGTATCCTCCCAGCCTAACTACGAAATTAGGGACCAAACTCTGGATTAGTCAATGTTCTTTATGCACTTTGAAGAGGGTAAATAATAAGATTACTCCGATTTGACACAAAATAATTTTTATATATTTTCAAATAATTTTAATTTATTCACACTCATTGTAAAGGGGAAGGATGCTTTCTTAAATTCAAACTCTTCGTCACAAAAACTTTGTTTAGTTTTCGTAAGTTTACTTTTGAAAATTTAGCAATTAGTTTAATTAACTTAGTTCTTTTAACTGCATTTTATCTAGCATTCACTCAAGTACATTAGATTCAAATTTCGTACTTCAGTTTTGTAGTTTAAATTGTGATTTACATTATAATCATAAGAATTTATCTATAAGCATTTCCAACTTCCCTGTGAGGTCGATATCTAGGACTCCATTAGAGCCCTTTATTACTTGAGCGATATGTATACTTGCATTATTATTAGGGCATTTGACAGTATAAAAATTTTTAAAAGATAATTTTTTTTTTCATTAAAGTTATTTTTGTTGAGTTTTTATTGCATATTTATTATTATAACTGTTATGTGTATTTTGTATTATTGAAAAATATTTGCAAAAATAACACAAATTCGTCGCATCAGCGACCTCTCGGACCAAAGAAGTGGGTGGATAGATCCAAAGTATTCAATCCGACGTAAAAGGATAGGTGATCGGCCTGGGATGGTCAATTGAACCCAAGACATGTGATCGACACATAATAGCCAATCAAACCCAAACGATAAGGTGGTCGGCCCTGGACGACTGATCAAACCCAAGAGAGGATCAGGGATCGGTCTAAGGTGTCTGATCGACACGAAGTGCTCAAACAATCACACATATGAAACACACTTCAATCCACATGCAAAAATGCAACAAATGATCATGCACATGCAATGCAACCCAATTGCTCGATGTTGCATCGAACTTGACCTAACGACCCACGCAGAAAACCTAGGGTTGACACCCTTGGATTTGCGGCATAGCCACCTTCAGCTTTGGCGTGACAATGTAGAGGACTTACCCTTCCAATTTCTCATAGGGGAACCTTTCCATCGTTCATAGGGTGGATTGATACAAAGCTTTTTTTGTTCTACGAATGCCCACAATCTTATTTAATGGACTAGCAAGAAAGCTTTTTCCATCTTTTAAGATCAAAGTCAACCAACTTCTCCAAGGAAAGTTGGGAGCACTAATGTCATGGGAAATGGGGATTCCTGCTCGGCAGGGTTAAGGCCTAAGGCTCACAAAATAAGGAATCACTCTGCTTCGTATAGGACTTGGGCAATGCATGTGATTCCTAACTTGGGGCTTCGTCTAATAAAAAATCAATGATCCATCACATAGTCGGCTCGACCGGTCGACACATGTAGTTCGACACCGCTACCCCGTGTGGCCTATCAAACCAACGTGCCTAGACTGAACTAACTCTAGGGCTAGCTAAGAGATTAGGAAATCTCACCACGATGACAGTTTCAGATGCATTCTCTTTGCTTTCTCCAAACTCACTTCCTTGCTAGTACAACCATGGGTCATATACCTCGCAATATGTGTGAACCAAGAGAAAGATATATATTAGGGAAAATAGGAATGAAGAGAGGAGGGTTCCTGCAGGAAGGAGCACAAAGATCGATCCTTGTCCTCCGGTTCCTAGGGTTGCCGGCGGGAGCGGTCGGTGATAAGGTTTGGGTCGAGAAAGGTTGCACAGGGAGGGGCTGGCTCAGAAGCATGAGTCGGCTAGGGCACGCGAATGAGGGAGGCGGGCTCACTAGCATGCAGAGGAGGAGATGCCGACGGGAGCGACATCAGCGTGGATGGAAGTCCGGCGGCAGCAGTGCCGGCTTAGAGTTCGACAAGGGAGTTGCGGGGTTTGCCCTATAACACGTTAAGAATGAGTCAGGAGAAAGGGGGAATGTCGCACACGTGAATTTTTTTAAGGTTTTAATAAACTTTTTTATTATATATATTTTAATATCTAAATCGACGTTTTGTGTGTGCTTGAGCGGTCTGTTTTGTCATTCAGGGTCATCTGGAAAAATTCTTCGACGATCAGGCCAATTCATGTCTGGATTCACGGACAACGTGGTGAATAATATTTGTTGATCCGATAAAACTAGTCCGACAAGCAAAATGCTGACCGGTGTTCGCCTATGCGAAAACCAAAGTTTAGCAGAACGACCCTGGCTGAGTGCCCCTCAACACTCTTCAGAGGGTCTCAAAAGAATGTCTCGGGCTACAGGAAATAGAATATGCATGAAGCATGACTCTGATGCACTCAAGTGGATATCCCACACATACAACATAAAAAAATGATGCCAACAAGCAGATGAAACATGATCACACAATACTACTATAACACATGGACAAAAAAAGAAGTGAATAATTGCTTTTTGTAATTAGTTACCAGAAAATATCATCTACATAAGTAGGGGAGGGGGGGAAATATTTTTATTTAAAAAATAATACTTAAATTACAATAAAGTGCTTGGAAATTAGCCTAATGCAAAATATTTTGTGTGGTGGTCCGACGTTGTTTCGGTCGAGACATGCCCCAATCAAAGCAGTCTCCCATACAACTCCCGTTGACACCTATGGGTCTGTTTGAGGCAGTTGCAACTGTTCGAAGAAAATTTTGTGAAGTTGTTGAAGAAGAAACCATTGTTCAAAAAATTGCAGTGGCTATTACAAAAATATGATTTTTTTATTAATTTAGATTGCAGCTTTTTAGCAGCCATCGTGGGGTAGCCAAGTATGGTGGAAAAATGCAACTTTCAGTTATAGCTTTTTGAGAATGTAGACAAAATATTATTTTGCCAACAAAAAAAAAAGTGCAGTGCGAAATTACACCACCACTGCATTGTCACCCCAAATACGCCCTAAATTGATTTAGCTAATCTGACTTAGCTTGCGTATAGAAGATCAAGGATCTCTTCTAGACATCCAACAATTTTTGAATAAGAGTCATTGCCATCTCCTCCATCATCTCCATATGAGCCAACAACTCACACATTTACTCACCATGTTGGATCCCTTTCGACCGAACAAAAGAGATCTCAAATTTTCTTAGATGATAAGCAAGTGTCCCAGGATATGTCCAGAATTAATGGTATGCTTCCACACCTCCTTTAGGGGTGTTTTCAAGACATTCAAACCTATCATCCTTGCTTGAGATAGACCTCCCTTTTCTGGCGCCCATTCTGCTATCCAAGCACCCTTACCGAATCATTATCCAGGTTTTTCAGAGTCGGTCATCTGCACTAACTGTCATCATAAAATAAAAAAAGACTTCAGAAAAATAAAATCTCATAAATAAGATCGAAACCCATCATACCCAAAAGTTGATTCAACTCAGCTGCCATAATCAACATAGCATGCTCACTAAGGAGTGTCAGAGAAAGTGACGGGAGAATGACATAAGTCATCTATGTGACTTGGCCGACCGGAGGGCATTGTGCCCCAGGGGTCGTCAGATTTGATCCTCGGCACTTCGTGGAGAAACTTTCAGCCGACCGACCAGATCATCAATCTGACTACCCAACCTTCCACTGTGGCACAATGCCCCCCGGCCGGCCAAGTCACATAGAAGACTTATGTCATTCTCCCGTCACATTCACTGACGCGAGCATGCTATGTCGATTATGTTAGCTGAGTTGAATCAACTTTTGAGTATGAGGAGTTTCAATATTATTTATGAGATTTTATTTCTTTGATGTGATTCACAGACAATCTCGAATTTAACAACCACTCAATTCTTAAATATCTTCAAATAAACACTCATATATTCCGTTGGCTTTCCACATCACTCAAACGTTTAATATAATAATAATAATAATAATACTACTATTAAATTCCTAAAAGTGGAACACACATTTTCATGTGCAAGTTCATGATATAAAAATGTTATAATCGTAAATATTAAATTTTAGGTGTGAGATATATAAATACATAGGAATTTTGTGGTTTATACATAAATTTTCTAAATGAAGTATAGCTTTAAAAATTTGTTTATACGAGAAAAACATCTTTAGCATTTTCTGGTCATAATTTCAATAGTTTTTTGCTCATTCAGAAGTTTTCGAGGGGAAATCAGCTGTGCATCTTGAAGATAGGCAAGCAGCCAATGAGGTGAAGCTTTCGTGCCACGTGTCGATCTCCGAATAAATCGGGCCTACGCGAGAGCAGGTGGTGCAGAAGAGAAAAGGATAGCTAATGCTTAGCCAATTCGATTCTCGCAATACAGAGAAGGCGCGCGCGCGGCGTTGTAGATTTACATAAGAGTTCAATAGGCTTCTCGTCATGGCAACGGCGGCGACTTCTTCGACTCCGGCTGTTCTGGGAGGTGCTCGCGTCCCGGCAGTAGGCCCTTTGACTCACCGGAGCCCCTCTTTCCTTCTCTTTCCTACCCTAGCCGCTCGTTTTCCGGGGCCATTCTTAACCTCTCTGGTAGAGTGCTTACTTCTGCCGGCTAACCCGTTACGTTATTTGGTTCTCAATCTTTGATCGCCGATGCTTTATTAGGACTTTTCAATCCTTTTCGGAAAGCTTGTGTTGATGTTCTGAATGGTCATTTTGTTTAAAGTAGGGTTTTAGAGTTCTTTAATGTCATTCGTTTTTTGGCAGAATGCCAGAAGCTACGGCCTACCGGAGTGAATTTTCGTTAAGATTAAGTTGTTCTTGCTATGTTTTGCTTGGACAGTGCCGTACGCACTGAATTTTTCAGAAAATTTCCAATTTTAAGAAAGATTGGAGTGAGTAGCAGAAACATTAATTTAGCTCATGGAACTTATAAATTCTAGCTTTTTGTGGCCACTGCTCACCAATAAGGAGAAATGCTTTTCAATATTTTAATGCAATGTAAACGTTGTCTTTGCCTTGGTATCTATTTAGCTACAAGTAGGATCTTATAAACCCAGATTTGTAAATTCTAAAGGCGTTAAAACCTGAAAACTATTTGACTTTGATTGTTGTTAAATTAAATTAGTTCATAATAGGTTTGTTTACACTTATTTTTAAGATTTAGTATTCAAATGAATGAAAAGTAGAGACACAAAAAGGAGAAGTGATGTAAATTTCATAAATTTTACTTTTTTCTGAATTACTAAATAAGGAGCTTAGTTTAAAATGGGAGCAAAGTGAGATTTAATTAGATAGTAGGATTTTTGTAGCTTAAAAATTGTTTGGCGAGATATAGCATAAATCATAGCCAACCAAATAACTAATTAGCATATAGGTTTGGTTGGGAGCTACGTGAAATTAGTGTGTGTGTGTCATTAAAGCATCTCTACGCCAACTATATGTTATTATGTGGAGCGTGATTGTGTTGATCAATTGTCATATCAAAGTCATCAAGTTCGACAATGCCCCCAAAATTTTTTTCTTATGTTTATGGCGCCTCAGCATTGTAACGATAGCCCCCAAGCATCGGATCAACAATGCTCTAGCACTCGAATATCAGCGCCGCCGTGCCCAATCCTGTTTCAGAATATGAGAGCATGACACTTCAGAGAAGTCAGCGCCCCAATATACATTGGAGCGCCATCGTGGCGCGCTGACGCTCTTAACCGATTTTGGGCAATTTTTTAAAGACACAATTTTGTTGATCGGGATGTATGGGATTTCGATTTTCTTTTGTGCATAAGATAGTGGAGTACTTTGGAGTTTCGAAAGTATAGAGAGGTTTGAGTGTGGTGTAATTTGTATAATTCTTGTCATTTTCTTCATAGTGAATTTCTTGGTGTGGTGTGATGTGACTCCGTGTTTTTTTTTTCTATTCTGAGATTTTTCCACATTAAATTTTTTGTGTTTATTTTTGTGATTTTCTTATTTTGTGCGGTTCTGTTCAAGGTTGTGCTTCAAATAACTTGAATCTGTTTCAACAATTTAATCATCCTCTAATACTATAGTAAATGCAGCCTATATTATCTCATCGTTTTAAGGTAAAAAACAAATGTAGACTTTTTTTATTTATACATATTTTCTTGTAAAGCACCTTTTATAATAGTGTATGAAATGCACCCTAGTTTTAACCTTAGGTTTTTAAGGAAATCTAGCATCACTGTTTGATTTGTACATTTTTAAATTACTCTTACTTTTCCTCTTATATATAAAAATTATATCTATTGAATCCTTAATTATCTATGAACTCACACCACCACCAGTTAGACCATAACATCTACAAAAATGCATAGGAGATTGAGTGAGAGAGAGAGAGTGAGGGAATTAGGTGTAGAGAGAAATAAACTCTAAGATTTTTGTTGTTTAGAGGATGTGAGTACAGAGTGTGTGATTTGGTTTAGTATATAAGATTGCTTATATGTTGAATCTCAACTTTGACCCCCAATTTATAAATTTATGGTGTTGTTGACTAGGCCACATAATTCGCTCATAAGAAGATAAAAATAAATAAAATATGTAATAATATAGCGTACCCTGTAGCTCTATAGGATGCAGAGATGTTGAATAGGCTTGCTATCAATTTAGCTAATGGTCTTGTTTGAACTGACAAGCTGATGAATAGATGACCGATGAGGCTGTTACTATTGAGTTGTGAATTGGTAAGCATCATAGCGGGTTGAAGAGTAAATTGGTTATTCTGCTTGGTTTTGTTGAGCTGGCATTTGAATGGATCCAATTTCTATCCTAGGTTGAATCAAACTTGAATGAATATGAGATTCAACTGAGTTACGGGTATTTGACTATACAGTATGCACTATCCAATTGGCATAGTGATTGCACTGTATAATTAATCATCATAGACATTTATTTTACTTTAAAATGATATCATGATGTCTGCTTATTCTACTTTAATGGCTTGAGTTCTCAATGCTGATGTAAATCCACTTATAATTAGTTTAGTCTCTAAATATGGTTGATTAGTGAGAGTGATTAGCTTGTGTGATAGCCTTGTAAGTCTATTCCTATCACAGTTGAGAAGTATGAGTCATGAAGAATAATGAAACTTCCCCTTCTTGTATGTCCTCTCTTTCTTTTTTATTTTGGTACTGTTGAACAGCTCAAAGTGCTCAAGTCGGATCGAGAATCCTAACATTTGTTAAGATTCTTCCCAGTTGTTTTCTTTCTCTGCTTTTTCACTCAGAATTTTGGCTATGAGTGTTTTGGGAGTAGAGAACTACTGGAAGATCTCTAATCGGGATTCAATCCTAGCCATTTAAAATGAAATTCATGACTAAGTTTGGGATGATTGCTCAAGTGCAATTACCATGGTAATTTGAGAGAATCCTCATCTCCACTCTCACTAATAAGCAAATGGATTTTGACTGCATCTACATTTGTATAGCTTTTATGTTCAATGAAACATCATTAATACAAATTTAACTAATGTTAATTTTACCACATTTGTTTTTTCAAATTATCATAAAATCCTTTACATTTATTTCTCTTACTCATTTTTATCCTCTATTCCTCCTATCAACCCGTATTTTTAAATTATCTGTTTTTTTATGCACTCTTGAATCAGCTTGTTTACGCATGCAATCAATTTTTTTACAAGAAAGCTTTGATTCAAAGAATAAGAAACTGTGCATAAGAAAAACTCTTTAGTATACATTGCTTCTTGGATTTCCTCTATAGGTGAAGGAGCAGTGACTATAATTCTGATCAAATAACTTCGTTAGCTGTTTGAAATCTGTAAACAAGTCATTTCTTTCATACTGTTTCTTTTCTAAGTGAAAAAAATGAAATTTGAAGAAATTAATGGACCATCTACACAGATGTGCAGAAGATTTCAGCACTCAAGACAAGAGCCACCTCTTCAGAAGAAACCTCAAGTTCCTTTGAAACTGAGGAGCTGCTTGCAGATTTGAAGCAGAAGGTAGCATATCACCTTATTTCATTTACATACATAGGACACAATTATTATGTATTTCCATATCTCACACATAAACTTTCATATTTACACACAACACTCAAATCTTTAATATCACATCAAAATAGCACTATTACCAATTTTTAGAAGTCAAATGCAGCACTATTACCAGTTTTTAGAAGTCAAATACTCCTTTTCATGCAAAGGTTTAAAGCACCAAAGTGAGATGTATGTAAATATGGAAGTTTAGGTGTGAGATATATAAATACATACGGTGTGCTACGTATGTAAAATTCCCTTTAAAATAATGCACATCCTTTCCTACTATATTTGCTGGAGAGATTTTAACAAACAGATGTTCTTTAGTGGGATGCTATTGAAAATAAATCCACCGTTTTCGTCTATGGTGGAGGCGCAATTGTTGCACTATGGCTGTCTTCTATTTTGATTGGCGCCATCAACTCTGTTCCTCTGGTTTGTAGTGTTAAACTTTTATAGTTTTATGATCTATTTCATTAATTCTTTGTGGATACTGAAACAATTATGAATTTTAGTGAGGTTTATGTGAATAAATAATTTTATTACTGGAACAAAATCATTTCAATGTGCAGCTACCAAAGATTTTGGAGTTGGTCGGGCTTGGTTACACTGGATGGTTTGTGTACCGTTATCTCTTATTTAAGGTAACCAACAATGCTCATAGTGATTTTTTTGATGCATGTTAATGAATTGGTAAGCATTTGTGAAATTCATATTGGTTTCTTCTGTATCTATGACCAGGGGTTGTTTATATGATTTTGATGTATTTGAATATTGATTTTGTTATAAGATGATGGAGATTGGTCTCATGTTATTTGAGTTTTGTTTATGAGATTACAGAAGAAACTAGGATGCTTAGGGCCTGTTTGGGATCGTTTTTATTTTAGAAAAATTTACATACATGCCACACTGTTTTTATGTATTTACCCAAAGTTTGATACTTAAACTTTTAACAGTTTGGTGTTAAAAGGTGTATTTTACTTTTAAAAAGATAATGATGGTGATATTTTTTATATTATGTTAAAGATTTAAGTGGTATGCCTGTAGATACAAGATTTTAGTTGTTAGATGTGTATATACATAAGAATTGTGTGGTATGTTGTATGCATGTAAATGCCCCTTTTTATTTTTTATTTTTATTTCTATCTTTTATTTTTTGACTTTAGAAATATGTTTGCTTAATGCATTCTCACAATTGTTTATTTTATTTATAAAAAAAATCAAATATATTTTTAAAAATCTCAAAATACTTGAAAGCAACTAAATATGTTTTAATAAACCAAATGTGTTTTATTTCAAATGGTAAAAAATGATCTCTAATAGCTCCCAAAATAATAAATTTTGTGTCAACATGTTGAGAGTCAATGCAGTCCTTGTTTTAAATTGATAAAATTCAACAGTATGCATCGGGAAGATGGAATTGCTAACAACAGTAAAAATGGAAAGCTAAAGAGCAATGTATTACTGCAGTGTTGGTACCTGTTTTCTGTTAGACCGACACCTACGATATCATCCGCCTCGTGTCAACTAAGTCGATGTCAAATCCGTCAAACTAGTTTGAAGACTTATATTAGGCGTAAGACTAAAATGATAATTTAGTCAATTTGTTAGTTATTATTTTGAGGTATAACTAGGGCTAGTGTATTTATTGTTACGTTATATGTGATTGTTGTCTTGAATCTTAGTGTTGGGTTTGAGACTCGAATTATAAGTGTTTATCTTTTCTGTATTTGGGTTCTGTTATTTTATCATGTGAAAATAAAGTATTTTATTTGTCCTCATCTCTCTGAAAGTTTTGGTATAGTTGCGATTTAATGGTGGTGAGCTAGCTGGGAAGCTAAAGATGGGATGTTGGGGTGACCAAAACTTGTGATACAACGACACAGTCATGATTTGAGTGCCAATGACGGGATCGTGGTCATCGACATGACTGAACCATGCAATACAAAGATACATTTGCAATTCAAGCACCAACAAGATGATGGCATGACTGAACCTCATGATACAACGATGCATTTGTGATTTGGGCTAGCTGAGAAGCCAATGACAAGATCGTGACGTGACCGAACCTCGTGATACAATTGCGATTCGAGCTAGTTGGGAAGCCAACAACAGGGTCGCAACATACAAGAGTTTTGCCTTTGTAATCTAAGATCGTCCTTAGAGTAATGACAACTAAGAAAATAAATGCCTTGGAAGAAAAATTAGAGGGAGAGGTGAGACAAATCAGATATAGAATGAATGAGCATTTCTCATCCATTGAGGGGAGACTCATGGCCTTGGAAGAAATGATGAATAAGATTATTGAATTTCACGTAAATTCGCCACCGCCCATCATGGGATCTCATGGCGACGTCTAGAGTGGATTTGAGCGGAAGTAATCAGAAGGATTCATACGACATCAGGCAGCATCACCGCCTTAAGCAAATATGGAGCTGTGGGATCAAGCGGCAACACTTGGAAGGAATAGTGTGACTTTTGAACGGCTGGAACGATTTAAGTAGGCAGGATTGAGCATAGGAGTTGGGAGTGGATTTGAGGAAATTGTGCGACATCTAGAGGTCTGGAATTAGCGACGAAAGGCAAAATGCGAAGACATGCAATTCAAGGCTGGAGAAGATTAATTCGAAAGATTTTGTCCTGGAGTAGGGAACCACGGTGGGTGAGACCCCAGCGGAGGGCTACATTCAACCGTGCCAGTACCTTTTGCTTCGGCAGCTTTCTGGGTAGAAGGTTATCTAGGAACTTGTTGAGACGGGCAGGTTGCTTATGGGGTGAGCCAGACGCGTGAAAGAAGGAAAATTAATATGGGTTGAGGAAGGAACCCAACCCCCGCTTCATGGTTTCAACAAACTTTGGTCGAAGAGATTGGTGAGAAAACTCATGCATAATGAAGGTAAAAATGTCGATCTTTGAAGGAGAAGATGCCTATGATTGGGTTATCATGTAGAGAAATACTTTATTATTAATGATTGATTGAGGGAAAAAAATTGATGGAGACAACTTTGTGTTTGGAAGGGAAAGTTCTAATGTGGTATCAATGTAGAGATTTATGTCAACCAATCAAAACATGGAAAGAATTCAAGGATCAACTATTGGAGCGTTTTAGAACCGCGCGGAAATGGAATTTACACGAGCAATCTTCTCCCTCATGGATTATAAAGAAAAAATTGAGTTGTTATCCAACTATTTAAGAGGGATATTGGAAGAAGTATTGGAAGGAAACTTCATGAAAGGGTTGAGGCTAGAAATTTGAGCAGCATATCGTCTGTTTAGACTGCGAGGATTGGGAAAAATTATGGAATTAGCACATTTGGTTGAATATAAAATTGCAATAGAATGGACTAATAGGAGTAACACAAGTGGCACGTCATACTGAAATTCTACAACAACGATGATACAAAAAACTCAAATAGTAGGATTCTTGAGGGAGGCTCCACGGGACAGGAAATATGTGCCACAATTGGGGGCGACATTCAAAAGCATTACATAGACATAGATTTAAGAGAAGCTAGCTAAGTGGTTATGTTTTCGATGCGATGAGAAGTTTGCCCTAAGATATCATTTTTAAGGATTATACCTTACAGGTTCTCATTGTACGATGAGGTGGTAGAAGATGAAAAATAAATGAGTTTGTGGTGGATAAGAACACACTTACTTGGATATGACAGAAGTCTCATTGAACTCGGTGGTGGGGTTAACACTGAACCATACTATGAAACTTCGGGGATAGATTGCAGAAGAAGACATAATGATGTTGGTAGATAGTGAGGCCACCCACATCTTTATCTCTACTCAATTAGTGAAGTAATTGAGCCTTGAGATGATTGACACAGAAAGTCTTGGAGTCATGATTGGGATGAGATAGGTTGGGAAGAGCAGGAGAGTTTGAAAATGGGTGATTTTAAAAATACAAGGTATTCAGGTGATGGAAATTTTTTTTCTCTTGAATTTAGGGAGCACGAACGTGATATTGAGTATGAAATGATAACAGTCATTAGTGGGGACTAAGATGAATTTGAAACTTTTGATAATGGGGGGAGACAAGATGATGGTGCTTTGCTGTGATCTTAGTTTGTGCAAGGCCATGGTGACATTCAAGACTATGGTTAGGGCAATATTGGATGTAGATTTGAGATTATTGATCGACTTGCAGAGCATAGAAGAGACACATGTACAAAGTTGACGGAGATTTCGACATCGATCTAACAACTACTACAACACACTGCAGAAGTTTTCCAATTGCCGTGTGGATTTCTGCCTCGGAGGAAACACAGACACATAATAACCCTGAGACTGAAGGTTTCTTCCATCAGTGTGTGCCTATACCGCTAATCCCAGGTACAGAAGGAAAAGATCAAGAGATTGATCCGAGAGATGTTGGAGGCTGTGATCGTACAACCTAATGTGAGCCCCTTCTTTAGCTCTATCTTGCTATTGTAGAAGAAGGATGAGAGTTGGTGTTTTTGTGTGTATTATGGGACAATGAATAAGGACGAAATACCTTACAAATTTCCCATCTCTGTGATCGAGGAGCTACTGGATGAGTTGTTTGGGTTTGCGGGCTATGGATGTGCACAATGCTGTATTTCAAACTCATGAGGCTCGCTACGAATTTTTGGTTAAAGGGAAATGATTACTTGATTATGACGCCACATGGGAGTCATAGGACATGCTCCAATAATAGCTTAATTTCTCTCTTCCACTTTGAGGACAAGGTATATTTTTGGGAGTGGAGTAATGTTTGACCGGCGCCTATGACACCGGTCACCTTGTGCTCCACCGTGTCAATATCGAGCCTGCAAAAAAAGTTTGAAGACTTATATTACGCACAAGACTAAAAGGGAATTTAGTCATTTGTTTGTTATTATTTTGGGGTATAAATAAGACTAATATGTTTAGGGTTAAGTTATGTGTGATTGTTGTCTTGAATCTTAGGATTAGGGTTTGAGAGAGAACGCCGATCTCTCGAATTGTAGGCGTTTAATTTTTATGTATTTGGGTTGTATTGTTTTGTCGAGTGGAATTAAAGTATTTTATTTGCTCTAATCTTTGTGGATGTCGTCTCTTCCATATCATTAGGGCTGCAAATGAACCAATTCACTTGATGAATATCTCGAACTCAGCTCGATTAAAACTCGATCATATTCGTTCAAATTAGTAAATAAACACGCTCGAGTAATTTTTAAAAGCTCGAAGCTAAATGAACTAAACATAAACATAGTCTAATTTGTTCATTTATATTGACGATAAAACTTGTTTGTTGTTCAAGTAACTTGTTAAATACTCGATATTAAGCTCGATGATAGCTCATATCATATATAATATAATATTTAAATAAAATTTAATTAACTACAATTTATTTAATGTAATATTTAATAATAATATATTATTATGTTAATAATATTTTTAGATTAATTATTAATTATATATTTATTTTATTAAATTTTGGGTGTTAGATGTGAAATTACATAAGACTTATGTGTTTTGTATTAAATGCCCCTTAAAATTAACTTTAAACTCCCGCAAACCTCGCTTTCCCTCTGGCCTCTTATAGTTTTGTCTCTCCCGGCTTCACCCAAAACATACGAAACTTTGAATCGCTTGGGTGTGCAAGTAACAAAGGCAACGATGAGAATGGGACATACAAGGATCTTTGAAACTTTAGTCTATAGTTTATCTCCCATTTCCATTCTGCTCAGTCTTACTGATTAACCCTCATATTTCTCATTATTCCTCGCACTCCATTTAAATCCTATAAATTCTCTTTCAAATTTCATTTATTATATGTGAGATTTAAGGCAAAAATGACAGAAATGGGATTTAAGATCCTGTATGGTTTAAAGTTGTCATTTTTGTTGTTTAGTAAATATTCGAGATTTAAGGCAAAATGGAGGAGAAACATGATTTATGATGTTTTATGTTTTTTTTTTGTCATTTTTGTTGATTGATAGGATTTAGGTTAAATTATTTATTAAATTTTTTATATGAAAATCTAGATACTCGTATGATTTTTTAATTCGTTTAAACACTCGTTCACTTGTCATGAACAAATCAAGTACAGATAAAATTCAAACAATAAAAAATTTAAACCAAGTCAAGTTTGAACAATATAAAAAAGCTCGACACAAACTCAAGTTGAACATGAACAACTTATGATTATACCAAGCCAAATCCGTACAATGATGTGCTTGGCTCGACTACAGCCCTACCTATCATATTCATCTCACTATTTCGTACAATATGATAATAGTGTGTATATATACATGTTGTCAGGTATCGAACGGTGTGGATTGAAAATTGTTATTCATGAGTGGTTGAGATGACTGCGGTGCAAGTTTTCAGTTGGGGTGGTTTTGATATGCAGTAGTAATTTTTTGTTTTGATATGTTTGTGTCATTATCATAAATTGCATTGATTATTTTGCTATATATGTTTGGAAAATTACTTATTTGTTTCTCTCAATTGAATGTTTCAAGATTTATTATCTGCAACCTGATTGACAATACGGCTGTATTTTTCAAATTTTGTCTCTGCTTCATCTGTATGCTTGATATAGCTCTTTGTTTTGTTTTATCAGTCGAGCAGAAAAGAACTGGCAGAAGACATAGAATCTCTGAAGAAGAAGATTGCAGGAACAGAATAGATAGAAAAGCTAGGCAAGCATCAGAAACTTGTCACATTTCCTTGTATAAATAAAGCATTTGAGATTGTGTTAAGTTCTTTTTTTGTGTTAATTTATCTTTTTTACTTGTAATGCCAATTGAATACTTCTGTTCTATAGATTTTCTGATGAGAATAACTTGGGTGCCGTTTAGGTTCGATTATTCTGTGCGGACAGCACACACAATGTGTGTGCGCTGTGCAATAAGATTTTTTTTTTTTTTAAACTAAAAGTGAGACCTACTGACATACACTTTTTGCAAAGGGAGTGTTTTCATTGGTTCACGATACACAATAATTTTTCGTTGTTTAGTAGAATCAGTCTTTTTTTTTGCATTAAATTTACTAAATAAGTTAAATTTATGAGGCTTAATGCAAGCACTTAGAGGGGCTGTTTGGAGGCAATTGTAATTGAGTTGATTCAGTTTTAGCTAATTTTGGCGGTGTTAAATCCCAACTATTGTTTTAGGGTTCGTATGGAGTGGCTGCAAATTTTTTTTGCAGAGCTAGTTGTAAAGTTTTAAGAGAATTGACTTTTTTGAAGGCTGAGGGGAGTAATATAAATATTTTTTTTGGAAAAAAAAAATTAGATAGTGATTTTTTTATAATTATCACATTTTAATAAAGTTGGTTGCAAAATGCACATCCCATCACAGAAATTTGAGTGAGTATGAGCTTAATTATACAAGTTAGAGCCTATTTATGAGGACTTTTTTTATTATGAATGATATAAAATGTATTAATTCAAATTAGTTTTATTACAATTAAATAATAAATAAAATTAATAATTATAAAATAAATAAT